GAAACATAGTGGTAAGTGGTTGAGTATTGCTGCGAACTGCTGGACCATGACTGGAAAACCGTTAAAAACAGAAGGCTTGATAGTGATGAAGCTTAAAAGAGAGAGAAATTGATAGATTACTAGGGTGGTTTCCAGGGGTCTACCAAGCAGGCCTTTGTACAGCGGGTTGGTGACCTGGGTTATAACCTCCGTTAATGAGCAACGACAAGCACATTAAACATCATAGGGTCAAGTACATAAAAACCCCTATGGTTTACATTTTGTGCACGTAACACCCCTATTGTTTATTTTGTTTATATAAGTCCATACTCATCTAAAAATGTTGCAACTAAGGGCCTCCTGTCAGACTGCAGTTAGAAGAGGTCTGATAAATAGTCATGTGCATGGCACATGACATTTTTAAGATCTAAAATGCCAAAATGCACTTTCTCTATTCTGAGAATACCCTTTACCGTATTCTATATATGTGTGCGCGCGCGCGCGTGTGTGTGTTAGCATATATGATAGCCACGATTTATGGAATGACTTACCATATTAGCATAAATTTGATTATGCATATGTTAGCATATATGATAGCCATGATTTATGCTCTGCAACTTGTAGATTCTGAAGAAGGGTGCTAGCAAGACCATGTTTGAAGATGCGTTGTCCAAGTTGAGCATTTCAGATATCCACGCACCAACTCGGGGGGGAGTGTTAGCATATATGATAGCCACGATTTATGGAATGACTTACCATATTAGCATAGATTTGATTATGCATATGTTAGCATATATGATAGCCATGATTTATGCAATGACTTACCATATTAGCAGATATTTGATTTAGATTTAAAAATGTCGATCAACAAACCAAAAATGTCTCCTCAGACCATAAACAACCAGTCACGTCACCTCAAACCGTAAACAACCAACAATGTCTTCTCAGACCGTAAACAAACAACAATATGTCTCCTCAGATGATTGCCCTTCACATGTTTAAAACATGTAGATGGAAGAATCAACAATGTCTCCTCAGACCATTCCCCTTTATACATATGTTTAAACAATATAGAAGAAAGAATCAATAATGTCTCCTCGGACCATAAAAAAGAAACAACTATATCTCCTCGGACCACAAAAAAAAAGAACTATGTCTCCTCAGACCATTTCTGAATGGGTGGGTGACAAACTCGCAATGCCTTCATTGCAATCGGACCACCCTGGCTCTGATACCAAGTAGAAATACAATATAAAACAAAAAAGAGAGAATTGTGTAGAGGCTTGAATGAGATTTAATAATATGTAAAGGCTTAAATGATATTTATAATATGCAAAGGCTTGAATGATATCAATCACTCATTCACAGCTCTAGTATTTATAGAGAAAATAAGAGCACATGCTCATATTACAAAAAAACGAAATTAAATCAAATCTAAATCAAATCTCTGCTAATATGGTAAGTCATTCCATAAATCATGGCTATGGTATATGCTAACAATATGTATGTATATGTTGCCCCTCTTCTCTCTCTGTGTGCCGTCTCTCTCTCTTCCCCTCTCACTCACTGCCCTTCACCATATTCTAATAAGAAACTCTGTGATTTGTCATCAAACTGCTTCTCCTGAGAACATCCATCAATTGGACGAGCTGTATTAGATTTGTCATCAACCTGCGTGTTGCCAGTAAATGCCTGAAATCTCACAGCCTAGTTCCATATCCAATTCAAACCTGCAAACAGATCATAATCTTCTTTACTTGTCCCAATGCTGTTTCTCCCTTCTTCTTTTTTGACAAGTAAAGATGTATTAAGAAGCCTTCAAAAGGGGAACGCATCCCTCAGAAAATGCAAAAGGCCAAATAGGGCCTCCAATGATGTTTCTCCCATAACCTCCATAGTCCACTTCCAGGTCCTCAAGCCAACCCGTAATTGCTGTAAAAGTAATACTTATTCCCATACCAAATTGATCTGAAGACAATAGATCAAGAATGTTTATAGACACTGACTCCAGTGAGCCACCCTATCAACTTTGTCCCTCCCATAATCAAAGCAATCCTTGACTTCCCTATTCAAATGCCACGGCCTAACAAAACTGTCCTCGTTCCTCTCCGGAATCCCTTCCAGAAGATACCCATAAGCAATCCTCATCGGTGAAACAAAATTGTCTTCATACAAATGGGCTGGAAAGACTGGACGATGCAAAAAATTCATGGCCATCCTAAACCTATCTAACCAAATCTTTTAACTCAAACCACCCTAGATTTAGTCTGTAGTTTTTTAATAAAATATAAAAACAAAAAATCAAAGAAGATGAAGGGATTTACGGACATGAACACAATGATTATGATATAAACAAAGGAAGATCCAACAAGAAAACTCTCTTTTGGATGACAAACTAAAAAAGGCACCTAAAATTTCACAGAGTAGCCATGAGAGCTCAGCGTCGAAGTATGAGGGTTACTTTAGTCTTTTCTCAGCTTCAATATTTTTTATTTATTGTTTTTTTAATTCAGAGAGAGAGGAGTACTTTAGTCTTTTTAAAGCTTTATTAATGATGGATTGATGTCAAGCCCTCTGTAGCACCTAAATTGAACAAGAGGGGTGTTTAGTAATCAGGAGGGGGTTATATACACTATATGCATACTATAGGGGTATTTTTCGCACTTCACCCAACATCATATGACTGGTTAGCCCAAAAGATTGAAATTGTTGCCTAATAGTTAGCGCATTCAGTCTACCATTAACCCATTTATTATTTTGGTTACTGATCCGATGGATAGAATGTAAAACAGAACCAGACTCTCATGCGCCTTGCCCAGGTTGGAACAGAGCAGCACGCAACAAGCTTTGTAACTATGCCTTTCTTTGCAATGGTAATTGTGGACGAGGTGGTGATGGCCACTTACCGTAATGTATAGTTTCACTGTGCTGAACTATATCAAAAGAAAAGCCTCATGTTTCAAGCGTTTCTTATTTTAAGGTCACTCGCTCAACTTGTTTGCTCACTCTTTACCCTATGTGTTTGCTCAATAGATTAAGAGTTTATAGGACCTCTTTGAGCACTACACTCCTTGTGAAGAGGCAGTGTAGTGCTCACTACAGGACTTTTGGCACTGAGTGACATGCTTTTGTGCAGCTGAGCGCAGCCTAGTGCGGCGTGCACTGGCACATGCATGTGGTCCTTTATCAATCTGACCCAGCCGGTGCATAGTGCTCCCACTAAGCAAACTCCTAACTAGGCCCAAATACATAATCTAATATAAACCTCTCCAGGTTGGAACAGAGCAGCACGCAACAAGCTTTGTAACTATGACTTTCTTTGCAATGGTAATTGTGGACGAGGTGGTGATGGCCACTTACCGTAATGTATAGTTTCACTGTGCTGAACTATATCAAAAGAAAAGCCTCATGTTTCAAGCGTTTCTTATTTTAAGGTCACTCGCTCAACTTGTTTGCTCACTCTTTACCCTATGTGTTTGCTCAATAGATTAAGAGTTTATAGGACCTCTTTGAGCACTACACTCCTTGTGAAGAGGCAGTGTAGTGCTCACTACAGGACTTTTGGCACTGAGTGACATGCTTTTGTGCAGCTGAGCGCAGCCTAGTGCGGCGTGCACTGGCACATGCATGTGGTCCTTTATCAATCTGACCCAGCCGGTGCATAGTGCTCCCACTAAGCAAACTCCTAACTAGGCCCAAATACATAATCTAATATAAACCTCTATGTGTCTCTTGTTTAGGTGATCTTGGACAAGTATTCTGTGTGTTCAAAGTATCCCAACAATAATGAGGTCCTTAGACAAAACCATAGCCTGTTCAATGACTGGACTTTGATTTAGAAGTATTCTTGTCATTCTTCGTTTGGACCGCTGTTTGGGGTAAGATCCTGACGATTGATAATCTAAGGAAAAGGGTTAACTGTCTTGTTAACTGGTGTTGCCTTTGCAAACAAGATGGTGAGTCAGTTGCTCATATTCTCATGCATTGTCTTGTGGCGAGGGATTGTTGGAATCTTATTTTTTGTCTGTTTGGTATGCGTTGGGTTATGCCTCGTTATCCTAAGGATTTGATTTGTATTTGGAGAGGATGTCCCGTGCGTAGTGCTGTTCACGATTATTGGAGAGTTTTACCACATTGTGTCTGGTGGTGCATTTGGAAGGAGAGGAATAGTAGAATGTTCGAAGGGAAAGAATCGTCCACGGCGATTATGAAACTCCATATCATACGCTCTCTTTTCAGTTATGTGAAAAGGAAGTCTTGTTCTTCTTCCGAAGATTTAATTATTTTTTTGGCTTCTTTTGGGCCTTAAACCCCAGTTCCACTTTTGTATAAAGAATGCGTTCCCCTATTGAACGCCTTGTTAATTCAATTATTACTTATCAAAAAAAAAAAAAGTTTTCTTGTCATTTCATGTGAAGCGGAGATGTCTTTTGCTGAATCATTTGGGACCTGGAGGCTGGAACTGAAGTTCATCAAATAGATGTACCAAAAGCTACTTAATTTAGATTTTAATAAAGAAAGAACAATACAACTTCAAGGTGCATAACCCAGGATAGAAGAAACAGCCCAAGAAAGAGCAAAACCAAAACTAGTTTCTCTGCACAACATTATATGAACGCCAAAGAAGAAAGCTAAAACTAAAAGAAGCTGGAAACAGATCGTAAGGAATTGAGCTAAACCAGAAACAGCCAAGCAACAGAATGAAGATTTCCAAATATGGCCAAAAATGCTAAAATGCATGGACTGAGCTAATTAACCATCAACAAACAAGTAACATATGCTGATGCTCCAATTTAGTATATATTAAATATACTAATTGATATATTTATTCATTTGATTTCTGTTTTATAATTTGTTGAAAACTTCTATACTGTATGCGTGCATCTTGAATACATTTATGCTAATTATGTCATTTATTGTTCTTAAAGCTGTTCCTATGGCATTGGACTCTCTTATGTTTGAACTTCAGGCATACCATGTGGTCCATAGACATAATTATTTTCTGTGAATGTGTTTGTTAGGTTGGTTCAACGCCGTGTGAATCATCTGAACGGATCAACTTGTTGAAATCAGAGTTTGTAGCGGTGTCTGACAAAAATGCAGAGTTGAAAAAAGAAATCCGGGAATTGACTGAAAAGCTTCAGTTGGCCGAACAAAGGACTGATCATGCACAGAAGCAGGTACTGGTGTTGGGTGAGCGCCATAAAGCTGGTCCTTTTGGTACAGTTAAGGGTTTAATAACCAACCCAACTGTTATTCCTGATGAATCTGTGAATCCAAGATTGGCAAAGATACTGGAGAAAGTTGCTGTTCGGGGAGAGCTTATACTCGCACTTGCGAATTCAAATGTGAAAGACATGTTGGAGGTATGGTCCACTGGCATCAAGAGAGTGGGTATACCAAATTATCTAGTTGTTGCACTGGATGAAGACATTGCCAATTTTTGCAAATCAAATGATATTCCAGTGTATAAGAGAGATCCAGATGACGGTATTGATTCAATTGCTAGGACAGGAGGAAACCATGCTGTCTCGGGATTGAAATTCCGGATCTTGAGAGAGTTCATGCAGCTTGGTTATAGTGTTCTTCTATCTGACATTGATATTATCTACTTGCAAAACCCTTTTGATAATCTTTGTCGGGATTCAGATGTGGAATCCATGACTGATGGTCATGATAATATGACTGCTTATGGGTATAATGATGTTTTTGATGAGCCTTCAATGGGTTGGGCTCGTTATGCTCATACAATGCGAATATGGGTATAAAATTCTGGTTTTTTCTATATAAGACCAACGATCCCTTCAATTGAGCTTTTGGATCGCGTGGCAAGTCGGCTCTCCCGGGAACCAAAGTCTTGGGACCAGGCAGTTTTTAATGAAGAGCTCTTTTTCCCTTCACATCCTGGTTATGATGGGCTTTTCGCTACTAGGAGAACTATGGATTTTTATCTGTTCATGAACAGCAAAGTCCTCTTTAAGACTGTTAGAAAACATGCTAACCTGAGGAAGCTTAAACCAGTGATTGTTCATGTAAATTACCATCCTGATAAGCTTCCAAGAATGAGAGCAGTCGTTGAGTACTATGTTAATGGCAAACAAGATGCATTGGAACCCTTCCCAGATGGTTCAGATTGGTAATCCTATTTCTGCTCTCTATCTCCAAAAGGCTTGTACTGTTAATAGTTAATACCTTATAACATATATTTATGTTAAAAGTTTACTTGGGTGTCCAAGAGCAATATGAGTTCTGCCTTTTTATTCTACAAGTTTGCTGCTTTCTGCCACTGTACCTTCCATTTTACAACTGATTTCTATGCGATATTCGCCTTTGCTAGAAAATGCATTTGGGATTTTTAGGTTTTATTTCTTCATATCCTGAAAAAAGAGAAGAAGAAAAATTGCAACTGGGGATTTGCTTTTTTGTGTTTCTGCTTAAATTTCCAAGTACCATTTTCTTACATTGTTGCAAGCTATGCTGCAGTGAGCTCTCCTTCCTGTACCAATGTCTTTTCTATCCGGAAAAGGCATTCTCATTTATCTTTGTTTTCACATGTACTATAAACACAGTATTGCAAATGAGTAAAAAATCCAATAGATAAACTGAATTGAGTTAAAATTTGAGAAATCCACCTACGTGACCTAGCTTATCTTATCGATCATATGATTTATCCCACAATTATACATTTTAATGACACTGAAAACAGTGAATTCTTGATCCTGTTAAGGGTTTGGTTAATCATTCCTTCAATTGAATGTTCGGTGCTTGTGAAACTAGAGTGTTACAGAACCATCAAGTGTTGAATGAGCTCATTCTTCTGCCTTCACATCCTGTTTATGGACTTCTGGGCTCTTAAAGGTTGTCAAAAATATGTTTTAACTTTTTTTAAAAAATTTATTATTATTAGTATTATTTTTCCCCCTGACTATGGAGTCAGAGAGCCACACTATCCAAAGCATGGGCTACCTTGTTTCAGACCCTAGGTACCCAAGACCCAGAAAAACCCCTCTGCTCTCTACAAGCAGGCTAACAGTATCATCCAACGCAATGGCTGAGAATGCGTTAGAAGGAATCTGAGAGAAAATGGCTTCGCAATCTCCTTCAAGGATAACATCCCTAAAAACCCCACTCTGAAAGCGACTTTATTTCTTCTCGCTAACCAATGGAAGAAGAAAGAAGCCGCAATCTCTATCATCACGAAGAAACCACAATCTCTTGCTTTCATGAAAAGCTTATCAAATAAATTTCAGCTTACCAACCCACTGGAGTCGTCACCAAATGGGCAATAGCCCAGCAGCTGGTACAAGCCCTCCTCCTTAAAGGGGAAGTCAGGTGTTCGAGCCTCAGTGGAGGCATCACAAAAGGATCCATCTCTTTGAGATTCATTCATGCGAATTCCTGAAATAAGGGCAAGCACCTGTAAAGAATTCTCAATGCATTTTATAATTGAATTGTACAAAACGAATGTTATTTTCCATTCTATTGATCATACAGATTGCTAATCAGATCCATCTTCAACGTTCCCTCTAGAGTTTGAAGTATCTATAGTCTGATCGGGAGACTGGCTGTTTTGACTTGGAGATTCTTGATTGTGGTGTTCAGTTTCATCGCCGATAGATTGTTGAACCAGACAGGGATACTTAGCTTCAAGAGTAGCTTCAAGAGTAGATATCACATCTGGTTCGCATATATGCTTCAACTCCGCCAGTTCCATGAGCAAATTATTATCATCAATAATACAGTAATAAACACAGCAAGAGAGAGATACCTTAGATCAAAGTGCCTTGTATAAGTGTATTGTCAGTAAAATCAACCCTCTTAAGCTAATGATGTGTAGGACAATTCTTGCCAACCATGTTTGATTCACAATTTTGGACACTTTCACCTTTATTCAATATAAAAGTATGTGCAGGAGTTTGAGAATACAATGTTTTTCAGTAAGGTAACTATGTTTGTTAAATTCATCGGCGTTTTACATTCCATAATTTTTTTTTCCTAAATGTTTTACATTCCATAATTCATTTCCCTGTAAAAAACACCATACATATGCATTATATCTAATAGTATCAATCTACCATTGCACCAACTAATCGCCTAAAAAACCATCACCTTGTGCCGATCTTGCCAACAGCATATAATGCAATACACTTTTAAAATATATATATATATATATATATATATATATATATATACAAAATGGAACATGAAATTCAATTATGTATGCTAATTGTGTGCAGGTCGTATAATATTAAATTTTGGCAACATAAATTTTTTTTCCCTAATTGTGTAGTGGGAATTTTGGCTACATAATCCACCAATGTTATCAAGAAATGCAATTATACTTCTAATTCTGAAAATGCAAACAAAGAATTGTTTCCAAATGAAAACAGAGAATTATGGGCAACGTTGGAATGTTGCATACCCTATTTTTCCCTTATCTGTTTTACAGGAATTCATGATCTCTTATCCATTTTCTGCCTCTCTTTTTTTATTGTATTTCTTTTCTTTTCTTTTTACTTGTTTGGGGTCTCTGATCCTTCTTGATCTTGACCCAATAAAAAATTTATCAATTCAAAATAGGATGGAGCCTGCTGAGTATCTGATACAAGTCTCCGTTACTTGTTTCAATCGTTGACCCAGGGTCTTTTTTGGGATTGCCAATTTTTTTTGGTCTTGTCCTATTGGTAAGTTGTAGGCTTCACATCCTACTGTTTAACCACCCCCAACCCAAAAAAGAAGAGAGAAAAAAAAAAAGAGAGAGAGATAGGGATAGAACAAGTCATATCTAAGTGAAATGCTAGAAATTTTTGCAAATAAGATCTTCAACTGGTTGGTATGATCATCCAATTGAATGGAAGACTTCTTAAAAACAAAAAAGTTGGGTTTCATAGGGGTTCGAAAATCTTGAAACGCATAAAAGTTTTTCCCACAATCACCTCGTTTCAATGTACCCACTTAACCTGAGAGAAATGTCAACAAATCCTACACTGAGACAAAGCATTGTGTGTATTTTCTTTTTGCCCCCTGGAAGGCATCAACAAATTCATTACCATGGTAAGAGTATAAATTATGTTGCAATTCTCATTCCTTGCCTTTTCACGTATTATTATGCACAAGTTCCTGTCTAGTTTTTATGCACACGTGACAAGGATTTGACACGACACGACATGACACGGGCACGTCCACATGACAAGTTTGAAATAAAGTTGACCAACATGCTTCGTAGTACTCAAGCATCTCAAATTAAGTTCTGAAATAAGTTTGCATATGCAATATGTAAAAGTTGATTCAGACCTTAATACAACAAAACAATTAGGAGGAAAAAATAAAAGTTGATTTCGACCAATTAATATCTGACAAAGATTGTTCCTTGAGTTAGGTCCTGGTGCATCATCCTGAAAGCTAAAAACAGTACCTACAATGATCCTGTTTAGCATTTGGAGGTGGTGTGTGTGAGTATCGTCTAGGAAAAAAAGGACATTCCTTTCTTATTATTAGACAATCACTTATTCACAAACCTTGTTTGGGCTAATAATTTTCATTCCCGACATTTAGGAGAAAAAGAGTATACACAAACAAAGGGTTTTTCATAATTTAATTTTTTGGCCGTACATAATCTCCAACAAGAGTTTGGTTCTTTTTACAAACTTGATGTGGCTAAATTGGCAAATCTAAGCCAGTTCCAGTAATTGCCCTTCTTGGACTAAGAAAGCAGAACTGTCTAACGTTGCATATTACAATTCGTTAAAGCCTACTTTGCATCGTTATGCTCAATAAAAGGAATGTGGGAAGCTCCAATAAAATAGTAATAAGATTGTAATAAACATCAGCAGAGTAGCAGACAATAAATAATTATTGTAAAACTCCTTCTTTCAAACAAAGCAAGGCATGTTGATAGATTAGAAACCGGTATCTTAAAAATTGGACCTTTATAAGTATTTCTAATTTTTGGGTCAATGTAATCAAACACATCATATTATACATACCTTTCTTCGAATTCTTAACCTCCTATCTGACTCCTTATTAAGCAGTCTCTTCGTTTCCTTTTTTAGTTCATGTTCATCCTGTCAAAGCAAGAATTCAGGTCACAGAAGAACTAGAGCAATAATATGACAACTCATTAACAAAAATTAACTGTTACAACCAACTGCAAGAAAAATCACAGAAAAATCAATTTGAAGTAATTTAAAATTTTTAAGAACTTAGCTTTCTAACTTTAACTTTGGGCTAAATTGGATTATTCATTAAATTGCAATAAAAATTAAAATAAAAAGATAAGCAATATTGCTCATCATCATCATCATCCTTGCCTTGTCCCATATAAATGGGTTTGGCCACATGAATTCTCCTTTTCCATTCTTTCCTATTATTATATAATTCAAGACGGATGATATTTCCTATTCGCGAAGTGTTAACAAAAATCTACTCTAAAAGCTTAAGTTGTTAAAGAGGGTGTAACTTCAATATTTAGTTCCTCTAACACGCCCCATCATGTGTGACCTTTTGGTCAAACAAGTATTTCAATTTTAATTGTCAAGGTGACAGTGAGGTTTGAACTTAGGAGTTAGGACCTGTCTGCTCTGATATCATGTTAACAGCCATCTACTAAAAAAGATTAAGCTGTTAGGGAGGTTTGAACTTTAGTAATTAGTTCCTCTAACACAAAGCATGTCAAAAGAACACATAATAATTCTCACAGCAAAGCATGTCAAAAGACAGAAACATGACCAGTACTTAAATATGAGATGCCCATAAGAGTAAGAATGTACTACAAAATTCATCTCCATTAGGAAATTAACACAAAAACGCAAAAAAATAAAATAAAAGATGAAACACACAAATGCTTCCAGATCTCACAAAAGAATTTGAGCACATTTGGTGAAATAACCGATGAACTTGCAAAAAAGTCAACCAACTTGATCACCATTTGAATAGCATTTTAGAACTATTTTGTTTTGGTTTTCTGAGCGAAATTTGCCATGTGTTCAAATTGCAAACACCAGTACCCAACACCCTAAAACGCTAAGCAACACTGCTCAGCGAGCCAGAATGTTGAGCACCAGTACTCAGATCCAAGCACCGGCACTCACCACACTAATGTGCAAAAATTAAGGCTTCAAAATTCCATAAAACGTCCTAAACAAACTCTTAACTTATCCAAAAGTTGAAAGAATTTTTGGTCTATAAAAAGTGAAATTTTTTCTTGTTGAAATTATTGAGTAATCAAACATCCAAACTGCTTTCAAAGTGCTTTTAGACTATAATTAGGGTTCCGCACTCATATAA